CAGGGGACGTGGGACTTGACTTTCGAAAGAACCTTGTCTGGGTGGGCAGGCCGCTGCCTCCCTCAATAATTTCAGAAACACTGAGACCATGTGGACATCCTGGACACTGAACATTGTCCCCCAAATGTACAAGGATTGACACTTGGCCCAGACCTGGTCCTAAGCCTCCTTCCTGCCCTAGGTCCCTCTGTCCCATCTCTGAGGCTCTCCCGAAGCTGCCCTCCCTGTGTGAGCGAGCGTCACTCCTGAGCTCTGCATCAGCGCGGCCTCATTTTCTTCCTTTATCTCCCTGTGGCCCCTCCTAGGGACCTTTTACTATGAGAGCCCTGGGCCTTGTGTCCGGCAGACCCAGACCCACACGTGGGCTCCACTCCTGCCAGAATGTCATCTTGGACCAGTGCCCTCACGGCTCTGACCTTCGGTTTTCTGTCTGTAAAACGGGGTGTGTGTTTGCCTGTGGGCTTTTCTGAGGGTCGAATGACGCAGTGTATGCAGAAGGTGCTCAGCACGGAGCCCGGGCCACGGCCAGGTGTCACGGCAGCTGAGAGTCACCGGTCTCTGCAGCGCAGTCCCCAGACCAGGCTGCAGTGCTGGGCAGGCAGTGGGTCCTGGTTTGCTGGGGCCCACAGGGTTTAGCACGGAAAGTCCCTCAAGCGGGAGCTCCTCAGCCCCAGGCAAAGCGGGTGGCTGGTCACCCCACAACCAGCTCATGCGGAATTCCAGGGTAAAGGGGAAGAGGCCGAAAATGCCACTGGAAATGAAGATGCCACCAACACCCCTGAGAAAAATGCTTCCATCCTGGGCTGTTGGTATCCTGCCCAGCAGTCACGTTCTCCCTCTTCCTCACCTACAGAGCGGGGTTTGGCAATGTGTGCCCCCAGGGAGGCCCCCTGCAGCCAGGTAGGCTACAGGCCCATATAGTAGGCAGGACTACCAGCTCCATGAGAAATTTGCTCCTCCTGACGAAAGAGAACCAGTGTCCAGGCCTGCACCCCCGCTCCTGCCCTGGGAGTGGACAAGGTGTCAGACACTGTGGGCACCATCCTTGATCATGAGGCATGAGCTCGAGGAGAGGCCAGGATGACCTCAGGGACACGGCCTCGTGTTGCGGAACTGCCGGACCCGAGCCGGGTGCCACCTCCCTCTTAGCTGTGGGTGCCCAGGATCCCATCCAAGGGGCTGGGTGCTGCCCCTCAGGCTCTGTCCGCTGGGCCAGCTGCGGTCTCAGCTACGGCACTGCCCTGGCAGACGCCGACCTCCACCTCACCTTAAGGAGACCTTAGCCAGGGACTGGACAGAGCACCAATCCTAGGAATTCCAAGTTCCTAAACAGTCATGGTGTCCAGTGAGATACGGGGGCCTGGGAAGAGTGGATATGCATTTGAATGGTAAGCACTTACTAGGCACCCATCTGAACCAGACACTGCACAGGTGCTGGGGGCCAAGGATGGCCCAGCCTCAGTCCCTGGTCTCTGTCCCACTCCAGCCAGCCGTGTCCAGGGGGCAAGATTCTACAGCCGTGACCAGGCAGAGCAGGTCAGCAGGAACAGAGCACCCACCAAGGGTGGATGGCCCCAGGGCAGATGGGGGCAGGCAGAGGTCGGGATTCAGCTGACCAGCCCTAAGGAGTGGGCCCTTCTGGGGCACTGTCTGAACTTCCTGGCCGACCCTGGCTTCAGTTACCTCATCGTTACTGGGGTCACTGCTGTCCGTGGCGGATGGGCTGTCTCCGCAACGCTCCACCTCTAACAACTGCACCCATGGTCCCTGACCTGGTCCAGTATGAGCCAGTCCACTCCATGCCCGAAGCCGGGAGTGGCCCCCTGGGACCCCAAACTCCACGAACTATAGACACCCTGGGAGTCCTCAAGGTGGGCGGTTGGTGGCCCAGCTGTGGTGAGGCGTGCCCCTGCTCAGGGAGCAGCCACAGCTCTGGGGGCCAAAGAGAGGCTCACTCACGGTGAGCTGTCCATGGCTAAAGGCTGCCTTGACCCTTCCACAGGCCTCCCCACCCACGGGGAGATTGGTCAGGGATAGAAAAACGCTTTAGGTAGAGATGAAGCCAGCAGGTGGAACAAGGTTAGAAAGATCTTTGTTTTCAAACCATGTCTAATTGCTGATGGTTGAATTTTTTGAGAGAGGAGAGGCTGAAATACAAAAAATGACAAGCCCATCCATCAAAGCAGAGCTGACCACATCCACAGCAGCCAGTCCAGGAGACCCGCCTGCCCCACAGTCAAACTTGCAGGAAGTCAGACCTCCTCCAGCAACAACTCAGGCAGCCAAACCGCACCCCTGTGCCCCAGGGGGCCAGTGCTGGATTCATCACCGACAGCTCCTCTGACTTTTGTCCTCGCTTCCAACTCAGAGCCAAGCAGAGAAAGCCACACACTCCCTCTCGCTGCCCGTCTGCTGAGCCGCCCCAGCACACCCAGCTGACGCCTGCAGAGGACCTGGGCTTCCCTCGCCCTAGTGAGGCCCCAGCCCCTGCCTGACTCAGAGGCTCTCACGTGTAGGTGGCGACTCCCCTTGACCTCAGGGAGCATCACTCCTGCCTGGGGCAGTTCCCTTGAGTACCCATAAAGTGGACTGGCTGGCAGAAGCAAGAATGGGAACATCCATTCATTCACTGGAGCGCTCACTCATCCATCCAGGTAACCACCAAACACACAGGCAGGCAGAGCTTTCCCTAGGCCTCTCCCACCCAGACCTGGAAACAGAACAGACTGGCTTCTAAGAGTGGCAGCTCCTGGAAGGGGCCCAGCACCTAGGGGCGCCTGCGTTCCCACAAGAGCCCCTGTCCCAGGTCGTGCAGCCTCCGCAGCCACAGTCCAGACCCTGTCGGGTGGAAGGCGGCCCCACTCTCTACTCCTGACCCCACTCCACAGGCAATACAGGCAGAGAGGCCTCTGGAGGTGACTGCTTCCCACGGGCACCAATGTGAGCGCGGGTCAGGACCCAGGCTCTGAGACCCAGCACTCCAGGACTCAGTGTCCCCACATGTAAAATGAAAGATTGGAGCAGGACTGCGGGCACTGCCCACGAGGTGACCCTGGCCACACGTTCACACGCTGGAGTGTGGCTGTCCACGCACGTGAAGTGCAGGGGACACACTGAATTGTGAGGATTCCGTGTGATGGAAACACTGAAAATGCCTCATTAATGATTTTACATTGATCACATGTTGAAATCATCACACGAAATAAAATGTTATTACAATGAGTTTCATCTGTGTCTTTTTAATGTGGCCACTAGACAATGGAAAGCATATCTGTGGCTTGCGCTGTGTTTCTACTGGGCGGCCCCGGCCCGAGGCAGCGGTTCTCAGCGGCTGTATTTTAGCATCACCTGCAGAGCTCTAGAGAAGCACAGAGGCACCAGGCCCAGTCCAGGCAGCACGGCCTGCATGCCTGGGGTAAGGCCAGGGTGCCTGTGGTTTCCACCATCTCCCCAGGGGGCTGGCGGGGCTGAGGCCATGGAGGAGGGGACGGCTGAGCCTCGGTGCCTCTCAGGGGCACAGGAATTAGCGGCGTCAGGTTGAGTGCAGTGCTGTGCTGGAGGGCTGGGCCCAGCTTGCCCTGGGCCTTTCTAGCAAGCTCCCAGGTGATGCTGATGCTGCGGGTCCTCGGACCTCACTTTGAGAAGCAAAGCTCCCAGGCACTTTTTATATGTAATGCTTTCCTTAATTTCTTGAGAGTTTGACTCTTAGATGTCAGCACTAAAGCTCTGGGCCCTGGGGGTGTGAGTCTAGTCTCAAGCCAATCAGTTCCCTCCACTGTCTGTAGCATGTACCAGGTTATCTGGGAAACAGCCACAGACAACCATCCAGCCCCCTTCAGAGGTTGATAGGAGGGGCTTCCCTACCAAGCACTCCAGGCATATCCTGATGTTTTGAGCTGAATGACATTTCAGTAGTTGAACCTAGGGGGAAATAAAAGTCCTATAGCTTAACAATGTTCATTGAATTTGCATTTGCTTCTCTTTAAATGGATATGGTTTTGTGGGTGCCCACCAGCCCCCTCTAGAGGAAGGAGCCCTGCCTGAGTTCCAGACCCTCCTGTGGGTGATGAGAGAATGCCCTGGGAAGGTTCTCTGGGATTTGGGCTTCTTGTCTGGAAAATGCAGGGAAACGAACACCTCTGGGGTGGCTGTGAAAATGGAGGACGGTTGCCCAGGGGCTCTGAGCTGAGCCTGCCCTCCTGGTCTCTGGAATTACCCTTGAGAGGCTGACACAAACTCCCAGTCCCAAGGAGTTTGGGCTCATTCAGCTGTTTTGGGGTAAGCAAAGTGAGAGGGCACATCTCCTTTTGCGAAAGCAACACTTTGACCTCCTTCATGAATGGCTCCCGCAATGCATGCACCTGGAAGCTTCGAAACGTGTTCTGGGGAAATGGGAAAACGGTGTGCAATGCTATGGCTCCATCATGAAGCCTCGGGTTTGTGGCCCTGTTTTAGGAAAGGCAGGACTCAGAGAGACGGACCACCCTTCTTTCTCCTCCTTCATAAGCAAAGCGATTTCAGGGTGGTCCCATTTGCAGATAAGAGGTGGAGTCATGTGGGTGAAATGCTGAGGTCTGGAATGTGGGTTGTCCACAGGCACTGTGGCCTCCTGACCTGTGGCCTCGGCTGCCTCGCTGAAAGGAGCTGATTGTGCAGAGTGACGCCAACAATGGGTGGTGGTTCAGAGCACTGCGTTCTCCTTGTTAGCCCCCATACAATGGTTCCTTGCTCGTGTCATTCATGTGTTTCCTTTATTGGAGGTGTGGCGTTTCAGTCTGCTGGGGCATCGCTTAGACTCAAGGTCAAGGTCAGCTTCTTCCTCCAGCCCTGAGGTGGGGCTCAGCAGGGCCGTGCACCTTCCCTTTCTGAGTGCAGAGCTTTCCAGTGGTGTCTGCTAGGATCTGAAGTTCCAACACCAAACCAATGACAAAGCTGATTTCCAAATGGCTTTAATGACAGACAATCTGCATACCAATCGACTCGTCTGCGCACTTGCAGGCCCAGAACAATGCGGGAAAATATGCAAAAAGGTCTGAGATGTGATGACAATTGCTTCCCAGTATGCTGACCTTCGGTAAACGAAACAAAGTACAGTTCTCTTTGGATGAGACATTAATGATCATTAAGAATGGGTACAGCTGCGTTGTGCAAGTGCTTTGTTAAAAATATTCTTTTCATTTTGTGTCTGTCCCATAATTATAATGGAAGTATTGTGCAAGTCAGCCAGTAAGATGTGCAGTAAAATATTTGTGTTTTACAACATCGGCGTGGTTTTTAAAGTGCATTGTCAAGCAGAGTGGCTTTGCCATGTTCTTCCTGCATCACCCCTGACTTCAGCCTCACGGTTGTAAGATGTCGCACACCGTGTTTGTGAGTATCCACTGCTGTTTCTCAATATTTGCATCACGCACACACTGGCCTCGGTGACAGATTCCCTGTGGAGTTCTGAGATTTCACTCTGGTTAATTTGGGGAAAACAGGACCCTTCTCCATCACTAGGACCACATCAACCGTTCTCCTCTCCCTCAAGGTCTAACATCTCAAGAAAGCCACGTAACACGGTCAACTCAATTCCTGTGGCAAACGGCTGAAGTGCCCAGAGTCAGTAGGGCCCAAGGAGAGTAAGAAAATCTCCCGTGAGAAAGTGATTTAGAAATGATCCCTTAATTGGTCTTTAAGCTGGGGAAGACGTTGATCACCTGTTTCAACTGTCTGGATGAGGCAATCAGATCTCGGGGGGTGAGGACTAAACTCTGATCTTTTTTCTGTCTTACCCATTCCTTATTCAGCTGTGACCAGAGTGCTTTCCTAAGGAGGAAGCAGAAGCCAGCTCTGGAACACGAGAAATGAAGAACCCCTTCCTTTGTCTCCTTGAGCCAATCATCCCAGTCTGTGACCGGACTCCCCTCCCTTCTGTGGTTTAAACAGAGCAGTGCCCCCAGCACTCCTTCCTGATGAGAGATGACTGACCACGGAGTGGCTCTGGCCAGTCCACGGAGAACAAACAGTGTTCTACTTGCGTTACTAGCGAAATAAAGTTAAAAACAGTTCAGCTTGGAGGTTAAATCTGGAGATGATGGCAGCTTTATTTGGTGTCATAGTGAAACCACCTCTGCAAAATTATGACTGAGACGGAAGAAGAGATTTAACTTAACAGACTCCATTTTGCTTCTAACCTCCAAGCTGGCCTTGTTCGTTCCTGGGCATAGGCTGAGCTAACTTTGGGAGAAAGTGTATAGTTTATAGTATAAACAAAGACAGTAACAGCCGTTTCCCAAAGCAGACCTTCTTCTTGCCTGGAGACTAGATGGCCTTTGACTAACATTAGCCACAAGATTAGAAATGCTGGCTTAGGAGTCACGCAGCTGGAAGCTACAAGTTTCTGACCCTCCCTAAACTGCTCCTAAGATCACGGCTTGAGATATTTTGCAGCCCCTGCACTGGATGGGTTGGCTGGCACCACCCAGATGGACAAGCTGGCTCATCTTGTCTTGTGGCCCCACCCAGGAACTGACTCTGTGCAAGAAGACAGCTCCACCTCCCTATGACTTCATCCCTGACCAGTCAGCACTCCTGGCTCACTGGCTCTCCCCAACCTACTAAGTTATCTTTAAAACTCTGCTCTCGGCTGTACGCAGTGGCTCACGCCTGTAATCCCAGCACTTTGGAAGGCCGAGCAGGTGGATCATCATGAGGTCAAAAGATCGAGACCTTCCTGGCCCATGTGGTGAAACCCCGTCTCTACTAAAAAATACAAAAATTAGTTGGGTGTGGTGGCGTGTGCCTGTAGTCCCAGCTACTTGGGAGGCTGAGGCAGGAGAATTGCTTGAACCCAGGAGGCCGAGATTGCAGTGAGCCGATATTGCGCCACTGCACTCCATCCTGGCGACAGAGCAAGACTCTGTCCCAAAACAACAGCAACAACAACAACTCTGCTCCCTGAATGCTCGGGGAGACTGATTTGAGTAGTAATAAAGCTCTGGTCTCCCACACAGCTGGCTCTGTGTGAGTTACTCTTTCTCTATTGGAATTCCCATCTTGACAAATTGGCTCTGCCTAGGCAGCAGGAAAGGTGAACCCCTTGGGTGGTTATGAATCCGGGATTGCCCTTTTGGATACCCATCCTGTGGTTCGGTGGCCCCCATCAGCGATGGATCCAGAAGCCAGCCCAAGTGGCTGCCTAATTGTCTTGGACGGAGGCTGACTCTGCTGTTCTCTCTACTGGACGGCACCATGAACCCAGCGTGCATGGATTGAATTGCACTGAAGAAATGGTCCTGGGGAAACCTCGCTTCATTGTAGCCCTGTCACAGAGTGTCTGTCTGTAGCCCCTTGATGGGGTGTCTGGAGTGGTGAGTATCCTAGGCACTGCCAACACCTCCTTCCTTCTTCTGACTGGTTCTGTAGCCCTAGGGTGGGGTGTCTGTAGCTCCATTGCAGGGTGTCTGTTTGGCTCGTAGGGTGTCTTGGTTGGCTCTTTCTAACTAGCAGGGAGATTCCTGGTTTGGGAGACTTCTCCTGAATCAGGAAGATTTTGAAGAGGTTTCTCAGAAGGGGAATAGGAGGATAGTGTATAGGATACTCCTGGAGTTCTTGGTTAGGGACCTGATTTGAGGGGCCTTCTCTCCTCTCATCTTTGTGTGTGCTTGTGTATGTGGAAGGGATCTCAGAAGGGATTGCTGATGGACGTCCAGCAGGGCTAACCCAGAACCCTCCTTATTTGTCTGGTCATATTCAATGAACCCTTGAGAGGGCTCAACAGGCCTGTCTTGGGTGACTATCTGCTCTTTGCCTTGCTCAGAGACCTTATTGTGAATTACCATGCCGAGGTTGTCTGTCCCCACCTGGAGTGGATCAGAGACAACAGGGACCAATGGGAAGAAGTTCGAGCTTTGCCAGGTTGACACTGGGTGCTGAGCGAGGTGACTCATGTTTGTTTTGTTATGTGTGTATTTAGCTGGCATAGAAAATGTTAATTCAGTTCCCCATGCAGCCCACTGGGCAGCATCTTGCAAATTAAGAATCTTGCCTGAATTTCCGTTAAACAGGAAAGGGTGATTTTCTCTTGTAAAGTGGCTTGAACCCCACACTATGGTGCAGTGAGCAAGGTCATTAGAAGCCTCACTGTTCTTCTTGAAGCTACATAGAAAGGGAGCCCAGATGTCTGGTATGCTGTCAAAAAGCGTAAGAAATTCTTAACCAGCCAAGTTTCTGGTCTCTCTCTTTCTCTGAGCAAATGGTAAACATCACTATTTGTCACTCTGCAAGGGTTTAATTAATAGAAAAAAGATGTGTGAGACTAGTCTTAGGCGGTGGCAAATCTGGTGTACTTTGTGCTAAGAATTTGTCTTTCTGTGTTCTGTAATGGAGAAAGGGGCATCACAGGATGAGATGTGGGTTTAGGGCCCACTTTCAAGCCTGCTTTTCAACCCAGCCTGGCAGGCTGGGTCCCTGAAGAACACTGGATGGAATTTCTCTGTCTTGTTTTGTGCCCTTAAGGGCTTAATCTTGTGACCATGTGTGGATACTTTCTCTTGGTTTCCACCTTCTAGAAGACAGGAATTTGGGGATTCATGTCATAGTTAGGTCTAAAAATTTTCTTGAGCAGTTAAAAGCCTTTGCAAGCTTGAAATGGGCTTCTCAGGCTCCTTCTGGGAAGAGCAATAAAAACTGCTCAATACTGTAACTCCGTAGCCAAGACTTTGCCTTTTGACAGTGGTGGCCTGGGTTCTATTCTTGGCTTCTGGAATGATTTCTTTCTGATTTTTTACATATGTAACTTTGTCATTTATTGTTTGGTTTTTTTTTGCCCCTCATAGATAGCTTCTGATTTCCTCTTTTGAATTTTCCTGTCTCTGAACTACCTTGTGTAGATTCTAAATCTTGTAAAGAAAGAAATGGCTTACCATGTTTTTGAAGCA